ATTGATTTATTGCCCAATGGGCCGATGTCGCAGTTGAATTCACTACACTATTTCTTTTACGGAATATGTACGACCCGTTACTTTGCCAACAAATGACTTGCCAGAGGAAGGTGGCGCAAGAGTAGTAATAGCTGCGTGGGGTAAAGAAGAAGTAGTAAGGATTGACTAAATTTTTAAACATACCTCACTTGAAATATCAACGTCCATTGAATTACGATATTTCATTTCCATATTTTTATTTATTTATTTCGATGTTTAAAATACATTCAGGGTGAAGCTACAGAAATGTTACGATACGCCACAACAACTACGCGTTCATACTACTCAGAGGTTCCAGGATTCGTTACAACATCTATGAGCTCTAACACGGGCGATTGTCTATTTGATCTTGGTTAGAAATTTGATGTAACATTTTCGTAAAGATGCTTTTAACTATTGAGTCCCAATGCTTTCAGGAGCTCCTTTGTTAAATCAGGCCAATGAACTAGTAGCAATTGCATTTCTTTCTTTCGAAGTAAATCTAATATAAAAGTCTGAATATTTTGGATTATTAATCTGATTTTTTTTCTTTCAGTGCAAGAAACGTATGTATTTTGCGGATTAACAACTTTAGATTCAACGTTAAGAGCAAAGAAATTTTAATGTTCTTAATCATATTGCAGAGCTCGACAGTCTAGACCATACATTTGCAATAACTTACAACCACTTTATGTATTTTTAGATGAACCAGATTACTATATTCGTGTCTACCCCCATAAAAAATGGATTGAAAGAGGCTTAGCAGGGAATATCTACTGTGCGAGTAAAATTTTGATTCTAACAATTATCGAAATGATTGTAATACGTATTGCTGATATTGCACTTTATTAAAAGTAGTAGATTGTCATAGGAAAAAACACTTATTGCAAAGTGTACTACATTTTTCTGTTTCGAAAAAAGTTCAAATAAATATTATATCGAAGAGAGAGTATTGTGTTAATTTCCATATTTTCCAAGCACATAGATTCTAAGAAAGCCACGACACATATTCATTGTATGGACATTTGAAGGTGAGAAGCACTAAAATTGTTCCTAAGCAAATATCAAAACATTATTCTTAATATGATATATGTTTGCTCTTTTTTCTGTTTGGCATATTCTTCTATTCATGTATTACATACTACAGAGCAGACATTGCTTACATAGTATGTAAGCGGTACAAATGTGGTAATTGTTGACGAAACGAAATTGTAGAGCCATTTGGAACATCTTTTGTGCATCGGATTTCATTTAGTGCCAACTAAATAAGAAACAAAAGTGGCAACGAATTGATATCGTGCCTAGCAAAGTCCAATCCATAAGAACACATTCATTGTGTCATTGTTGTGACAAAAATGAAATTGCGTCAGAAAATATAATAATAAAATGAATGCCGAAAGAAATGCTGATCGAACGTGCTGTAAAATGAAGAAATATAATTTACAATTGAAGAGAAAAATTCATAAGATCATTTTCACCGCTTCAATTTGATTTTTTATTCAATTTTTGATATAATGTTAATATTTTGCAGAATGTTCCGTTACAACTTGGTTCAATGTCATTGTTACACACGTATTCTACGATGATCTTTGTTAGCTGCGGATTTTCATCATAAATTTCCTTTATATAATCAAAAGAGTTGAATTTGTGAGTAGATACGATTAAGTGTACTTCTTTTGATCCTAAAAATGTTATTTTGTCCATTTCCCAGGACATTACACTTTCTCTATCCCAAAGATACTCACTAAGTCTTTGCAATTCTTCTTCATACTTTCCACTACAGTACAAAGTGAACAGTTTGCAAATTGTTTCAATATCATTATTATCATTTTCAGGCACAAACGAAGAGCGTTGATTACTTCTTCGATATTTCCAGCCAGTTTTATGGAAAATTCCTTCACTACTCAGGGCCGCTCCAACGCTTTTGTATGCCCGTCTAATGGCCTGCGTTTGTTGGACAACGAATTCCTTTTTCAGAGCAGTTTTTATTGCAAAATAAACTCCGTCCAGCATACAACGTTTTTCGGCTACAATCCTAATCACACCGTATGGATTCATATCAGCACCCATTTGTTCGTTTTTCAAACCGCTACTCACAAACAATAACACTTCTACATGTGGACTAAACAGTTCAATGGCCATTCTGACTTTATCCGTTGTTGCAGTCGTATAGTCAAAAACAATAACTTTAATTTTTTGTTTTTCTGTCCCTGACTTCGAACCAAACATTTCATTTTTTATCTGCTGCAAGTCAACGATTGTAATACCTTTGCCAGCGGAACTGCAATGATTCAGATCAATAGTTTTGATATCCATTTGATAGCATTCTCCACGTTCAATATGTTCAATTTTCTTGAAAGTATTGTTTTTATAATACACATCAGTGGCTTCTCTGGCTTCATAATATGCTTTTGTTGAGTCAAACTCTTTTAATCCAGTCAAATAGATTGCACAATACTGTGCCAAATTGATTGCTCTCATTCCAGTTGCAACTACAATCTTAATCGAGTAATATGTTCGAATGGAAGTATCATCGTTTGGAATGCTGAATTCACAATCACTATCGCTTTCAGATTCATTTTCATCTTGGTAGCCAGTGCTATGTCTAACGAACTCTAAATTTGCCTGTTCGAGTAAACTATATAAGCCGTACAACATTCTATGTGAAACTGCATAATGTAGCACTTCAATATTGTTTTCATAAAAAACTGATTCAATTCGTTCCATAATATACCAAAATTGGTCATCATCTCGGATTCGATCGTCAGTTTCCCATGATTGTGGAAAAGTTCTCTTCGGTGAATTGCGTTCGCATTCATTGACCTTCAAAAATACTTTTTCTTCACACTTTCTCCATTCCAAACGCAATAACATCCTTTGCAATGGTCGAACCAAATCTCCCGTTTTGTCTATTAGCTCCTCATGAACGTAGTCGGACAGCAATTCGATATTCTCCCTATTTCTTGTAATTAATTGACAAATTGATTCTCCGGATTTTTCACCCTTTCGAAGTAATATTCCTAATATTGTATCTTTTCGGTCGAACTTCGCAATCGAATTATCTCCTACCAAATCATTTCTAATATTATATTTTGTGATTTGTAAATTCATTTTCTCAATATCGTACGATTTAAAATCAGATTCTGTCCATATTTTTTTCGTAGTCAAAAAGTAATCAGCACCGAAATCATTGTTGAGTTTCATGAGGCTCTCAACTAATACTTCTTTAGCATACAATTTTGGAATCAAACCAACACTAATCCTCAGGCTACCTGCAGTGTCTGCCACACTTGGGATATTGAAGCAAAAACTTGCTCTAATAACTAATTCGATTGGAATGCCTTTTTTTAATGCAACATGATTTGTTAGGGCCACAAAATATGCCAATACAATATTATACAGACTACTTTGCACATCAGTTTTTTTGTCTCCCTGTTCTGTGAGTTTCTTCACTTGCACCAAAATGCACGGATAGTCATTTTCACAGTAGACATCGATGTTCGGATTTTTTACACTTTTTTCGAAATTCTTCACAATAATTTGGCACATGTTGAGTTTATACTTGAGCAATTCATCGTATAGATAAAAACTATGATCGATTTTCGTTGTTTTTTTGGTTTGAATTTCAGTTTTCGTCTTAAAAATGCGTTTATACTCTTCAATTTCCCAGGGGCTTGAAATAACGCCGGTTTTTGCTGCCGATACTTTTTCATTAACGAACATTTCATCCATCAAAACTGCATTGATACATTCGATTCCATCGATTTCTAGTTCACTTTCTTCACGGGTCACGCTACTTTTGGCCTCATCGATTTTTGAATCGAGTTTAAGCTTCATTTTGATTTCAGCAAGTCGATCGCTATATACGGAACGCAAATAAGTTGCCCAGTATTTTGAATCATTCATATCGAATGCACTTGTCCCCTCAAATCTCGTTCGATATTCACATCTTGGGAAGAATGGATAACGAGACTTCCTGTGGATTGATAACAATTTATAAAATATGAATCGTTCACATCCCGTGTGAAAAATTTGTGACTGACTAGCCAGACGTCTTATTTCGGACTTTTTTGGCTGACTATCAGTGACTAAAAGTGATTATCTCGAACAAAATATTCGACTGTAGTCAACTTCAGTTATAGTCATCTAGTAGCCAAAAAGTCCGAAATTAGACGACTGGCTCAAAGAATAACTAAAAGTGATTGTTTCTATACAACATTTTTGAATTCAATCAACTTAGCCAGTTTTAGTTGTTTGCAGCTACATTCGGTCCATTTTGCCGATTTTCCCAGCCGTTTTCGAGATATTTCGATGTGTAAATATTTATTGGTTTTAATTTACCACTTAATAGGTGAGTTTGGACAAATTAGCAGAAAAGCGTATTAAAGTTCGAAATATTCCATCATTCTAAGATATTTTCACTAGAGGCAAAAATCCATCCATTTAGCCTCCATAAGAAGCAATGTATTTTTTGTTCAAGGTATCGAATCACGCGAAATTCAATTTCGTTTCGCAAGAGTCATCATTAATCGCATGATGTTTTAGACAGCACACGGATTTTCAATAACATAAAACACAACATTTCATGGAATTTAATTATTTTTACTTATGCAAATATGTTTGAGTGCAACTAAAAACCAATATGGAACGAAGTGGGTATTTTGAATAACAAAAAATTGGAAGAAAGAAAATTTATGTTTGCTTCATTTGATTTTGGCGTAATAAAATCAAATGTAAAGTAGCGAATCGATTGAACTTTCCAGAATGACGATGAATTTCAAACATAAAAGATGCATGAGAATCGGATAATAACGTTGATGTAAAAAATTGGTGGCTACCAGCAACGTTCATTTCAATTAACATGCGATTTGTGAAATATTTTCAATTGTTTAAATAATTTATCAGTGCGATTGATGAAACGCCTTACATTAAACATAGCCATTCATCGTATTCGTTCTATATTTATTATAAAGTTCTATGGACCAACTTCAAGTTGTCGTTGAATGCAAAACAATTACTCATCGGTACAAATAAACTGAAAATTCAGACATTCAATTCAAATCGGTTGACACTCAACGAGTGTGTAAGAATAAATTTTTATTGTTAGTGATTTCTTTTGAAAGAAGGATAATCGAATTGAAGAAGAAACGACGTTTTGACTTCATTGAGATCGATTTTCAATTGAAATTCAATTTTTGACAAAAAATTGCTCTGGAAATAATGACAATTTCTATTTAAGGCCGACGAAATACGCTGAGTATCTGGATCTAGCTGAATGTAATATATTGCGTTAGGAGCGTGCAAATATCTGACTGAACTTCATTCGTACCAATCGAAAGAAATGACGGTGGTTGAAATGAGCCCGATATCCTTTGTGATTGCCTCATCCGGTCCATAAATCGCATTCTAAGCGTCAATAATTTCACAAATAATTATATCGCTTAGTTTTAGTTTGTGGAACAACGTGCATTGATTGTTTTGTATTATATGTTCGTAAATGTGTGTTTCAATTCACCTATATTCAGTTCAATTGAAGTATTTTCTAAACCAAATATGAACATATTTGATCTGAACGTGAACAGTTTTGAAAAAACTGAACAT